GCGTTAAAGTGTTTTTACGCAGCGTTTTTCTGGTGGAAACGGTCTTCCAAACACTCATTGTTTTGTGTAAAACTACCATAAAATGTAGAAAATGAGTTACGAAAGTGAAAAAAGTCAGTTGAGATTAGGAGATTAACGACAAACAGACGTGATTTAAAATGAAGAAAATGCAGAAAATGAGCAGGAAGTTAAAAGAGCCGAGTTGGCTCGAGCTCATCATGTGGGAGAAATATGGAAACAGTTTGGCTTTGATCCGAGAGCAGTTTTTAATCARTGACAGGGAGAAGGAGGGAAAAGGACAGAGGGTCCGTGCGCAGCGCGAGCACAAAGCGCACGAAGACAAGGCGGGAGAGAGACAGRCCCCCCCAGCTGCCCCTGCCCGGTGGGAAGCCCTGTCTCGTGCAGCACGTGGCTTTTCTCCCACGGTGAGCAGGAGGGGAGCACAGACAGACCCTCACAGACCTGAAGGTCTCGGGTGGGATCTGGGTTCAGTTTCTCAGCCTGTTGACTCGAGTCTGAGAAGAAAAGAAACAGGTTGAAATAAAAACTGAAGTTTACAGCCAGACTCAGAGCTTAAATCCTGTCTGACTTTGTTGTTTTCTGTCTTTAATCTTTGTAGAAATTAAACTGCAGTCTGCTGCTCTTTAAATCTGTTTGCGCTGAAAACTTTGCGCAAAGAACAAAAACTGCGCGTGGAGCAGCTCTCAGAGCGCAGTGACGCTGCGGGGAGTTCCTCCTGGTTCCTCCTGGTTCCTCCCGGTTCCTCCTGGTTCCTCCTGGTTCCTCCTGGTTCTTCCTGGTTCCTCCTGGTTCCTCCTGGTTCCTCCTGGTTCCTCCTGGTTCCTCCTGGACCTGGATACTTTTCTCTTTCTGTCTCTTGTTGTTGGCGTCGTTCCGACTCCACAGAAGGTGCAAACGTGACGCACATGTTGCACCTTCACGCTCCATGTGGCGCCAGCTGAAAGCCGCGCCTCGCGCCATTAATATTCCTGTAAGTCGGTCATGAATAAGAATTACCCAGAGCACACCGGGGGAGGAGGCGGGAGCTCGGTGCTCACACTCAGTGCGGCGGAGCTCCGGGCGCAGGAAGGTTGTGTGTGGAGCTGAGCGCGAGGCCCCCGTGTGCACGCGCCTGTCACCGGGAATGAGTTGGTTCTGAAGCCGCTGAGTTTTTTCCGCGCGGGACGAGCTGCAGACTTTACAGATGTTGCTTCATTCCTACTGTGCCGGGGTGAGTTTTCCTCCTGACGGTCTCCTTCAGGCTGTTGTGTGTTTTACCTGCTGCTTCCGGTCACCACAGACCAGGAACAAGAGCTGCTCGGCCTCTGCGTGCTCTCATGTCTTCACTGTTCTGTTTTTCTTCTTCTTCTTCTTCTCTGCACCTCTTCAAAGGACCGACATGACGGCGTCTCGAGCCACAGCTCGCGCCTGTCCCAGCTGGGGTCTGTGTCGCACGCGGGACCCTACTCCAGCGCGCCGCCGCTGTCCCACGCGCCTTCCTCGGACTTCCAGCCGCCCTATTTCCCTCCGCCGTACCAGCCGCTGGCGCACTACCAGAGCCAGGACCCGTACTCTCACGTGAGCGACCCCTACTCCCTGAACTCGCTGCACCAGAGCCAGCAGAGCGCGTGGGGCGCGCGGCAGCGGCAGGACGCGTCCGGGGACCGGATGGAGAGCTCGGCCCTGCTGGCGCAGCCGCGGGCTTCTCTGCCGCAGCTGTCCGGGCTGGACCCGCGGCGGGACTACGGCGGCATGCGGCGGCCTGACGTGCTGCTGCACGCCGCTCACCCGGGCCTGGAGCCCGGCATGGGAGACGGTCTGCTGCACGGTCTGCACGGGATGGAGGATGTTCAGGTGACGATGGCGATTATTGTTATTGGCTGCAGGGATTAGATGTTTATTTCCAGGGTTTTATTTAACCTTTATTTATCTTAGTTTACCTTTAACTTATTTAACCTTTATTTATCTTAGTTTACCTTTA